GGGTAAAAGGGCGAGACAGGCAGTACTTGTAACTGACTCATTGGTGATTTAGTACAAGTGTTGCCATGTATGTGTAAAAACAATCAAACAAGTACTCACAGTGGGCATAGCACGTACGTACACATCATACCCATCGGCATTGGGTTAAAATAGTCTACTGTCATTTTCTTTAGTCAAATTTGTCTGCCCATAGATGGCTCCAATAATGCTCAACCATCATGGAGCCAACTAGTAAGATCATGTATCCTCAGATGATTTCCCCTTTCCTTGAAATTTTGGGATTTTTTTCTAATGCTCTTAATATCAATGTTGTTATTGTTGTTGATATATATATATATATATATATATATATATATATATATATATATATATATATATATATATATATATATATATATATATATATATATATATATATATACATATATATATATATATATATATATATATATATATATATATATATATATATATATATATATATATATATATATATATATATATATATATATATATATACATATCATTATAATGTTATTAATAATACTAATAGCAATAGAAAATAAAAGAGAATCTTTACGAAAATCAACAAAAACGGTAAAGACATGAGTTAAATAGGACTAATAGTAGACTCCTTGGTGATTAACCCATTCACGCCGGGTATCACGTATATGTGACGGGCCCACTGCGAGTTTACTTGTTTAATTGTTTTTACACATAGATGGCTGCACTTGTACTTGTACTGCCTGTCTCGCCTGTTTACCCTTTTCTTTAATTTACGAAAATATTATACGTTATCTTATTTTGCTGTTACTAACATTATAGTAATTATAATGTTTATAATAAAAATAACCATCGATATTCATTGTACTAGTAAAAATACATTTTCCCGCCAAATGAAATCAGGTAAGGCAGAGCCATCTAGTGTAGAGAAATTTCACAAAAAGTATAAAATATGAGCACAGCATTTTCCCCCATTTTTTGTTCATTTTTACCCGGCGCGAATGGGTTAAACACATTCAGAGCCTTCTATGTGTACAGATAATCAATAAACAAAGACACTGTGGATATAGCATGTATTCTTGCCATCCTGTCAACAATGGGTTAACTCTGCCTTCCTTTATGGATAATAACTACAATATAAATAACTGAGGTAATGGGAGGTATGGGGCAATGAGAAATTTACTTTTCAAGCATTATGAAGTGTTTACTTGATCAGTGGTTTATGAACACTAAAAGAACTCATGTTACACTAATGATATGACTAATTTCCAACAGTGAACTGTCTGGCAAAATGTCTCGTGATTTGTAGTGTCGGATTCCAAAGAGAAGGCATTCATATACCATTCTCTCAATCAATTCACTGGAAAAAGTGATCTGTAGGGCTCCTTCCCCACTTGTCTATTCACAATCTTCACAGAGTAGCAAGAAACTAAACATGGTTTTCCAGGATGCAATTACCAGGCATTTCCTGCATAAAATTGCCTATCCATCAATCCTGTGACCATGTGATACACCAGTTATTTCCCTTATCTTCTTTGATCTTCTCTGGTAGAGTGCTACAGTAGCAGTCAGGTTTAGGCTCTTCAGCTCCTTTCCACCACCCATTGGTGTAGAGGGTCATGAAAACATAGATGCCATAGGGGTAAAAAAAAAAATAAGCAAAGTTGCATTTAAAAGCAAGTAATTAATATACCCAAAATAGAGGCTCTTATTCAGAGACACTTCTAACACCTCATACAGAGAGCTGGACCAGCATCTCAGTCCCATTAGCCAATTACCATTGAGCAGTTTTACCTTGCAGCAAATCAGTCAAGTTGCCTTGCATCACAGCCAATAAGAACCATGGTGGCAGTGGATCTCCACTGAAAAATCTATCCAAAATATCTCTGAATATGAATATGAGGCTCATGGCACAATGATCTGTTTTGTTTTTATGTTACTCTCTCTGACCTCTTCCTAGCCTACCAAGAAATGCTACCATTCTATGATCTATGGCCTTTACCTTTATATCAATAAAAGATGGCAAGGTGGCGTTTTGTGCCAATTTTTTGTTCCATCAAGACTTTGTATGCATTTGGCACTTATATCTACAGTTGCCAGTCCAAACATTGAATTCTCATATTATAGACTATACCATACAGAAATATAAAAAAAAAATAAAAGCAAACATTTGCCAAAAACCTTTCTAGGAGCTCATACTTGTAAAGTGAAGATCTCCGGATGAAGACACTTGTATTCTTTCCCAACATATAGGCGGTGTTTCCATCTTTCCTCGTGAGCATGCCGCCTTCGTTCCACTTCTTTCTCCAACTGCAAAGGACATCAATCATTAGCATTCATCTTGTCTGAAATAATAATGGCACTATCTTGTATGTTCAGTTTTCATATAATCTAAAGGCATTCTCTAGGTACATAAGTGGAAATAAATTATTATATATAAGTGTGTGTGTATGTATATGTGTGTGTGTGTGTGTGTGTGTGTGTGTGTGTGTGTGTGTGTGTGTGTGTATGTGTGTGTGTGTGTGTGTGTGTGTGTGTGTGTGTGTGTGTGTATGTATGTGTGTGTGTGTGTGTGTGTGTGTGTGTGTGTGTGTGTGTGTGTGTGTGTGTGTACATGTGTGCGTGTGTGCGTGCGTGCACGAGCACAAGCGCGAGTGTGCATGTGTGAGTGCGAGTGTGCATGTGCGTGTGAGTGTGTGATGTGCTTGTATGTATGTATGTGTGTATGTATATATGTATGTATGTTTGTAAGTATGTATGTATATATAAATGTGTGTGTGTGTGTGTGTGTGTGTGTGTGTGTGTGTGTGTGTGTGTGTGTGTGTGTGTGTGTGTGTGTATGTGTGTGTGTGTGTGTGTGTGTGTAGGTGTGTGTGTAGGTGTGTGTGTAGGTGTGTGTGTAGGTGTGTGTGTGTGTAGGTGTATGTGTGTAGGTGTGTGTGTAGGTGTGTGTGTGTGTGTGTAGGTGTGTGTGTGTGTAGGTGTGTGTGTGTGTGTGTAGGTGTGTGTGTAGGTGTGTGTGTAGGTGTGTGTGTAGGTGTGTGTGTAGGTGTGTGTGTAGGTGTGTGTGTAGGTGTGTGTGTGTAGGTGTGTGTGTAGGTGTGTGTGTAGGTGTGTGTGTAGGTGTGTGTGTGTGTGTGTGTGTGTGTGTGTGTGTGTGTGTGTGTGTGTGTGTGTGTGTGTGTGTGTGTGTGTGTGTGTAGGTGTGTGTGTGTGTGTGTAGGTGTGTGTGTAGGTGTGTGTGTGTGTGTAGGTGTGTGTGTGTGTGTAGGTGTGTGTAGGTGTGTGTGTGTGTGTGTGTGTAGGTGTGTGTGTGTGTGTGTGTGTAGGTGTGTGTGTGTGTGTGTGTGTGTGTAGGTGTGTGTAGGTGTGTGTGTGTGTGTAGGTGTGTGTGTGTGTGTAGGTGTGTGTGTGTGTGTAGGTGTGTGTGTGTAGGTGTGTGTGTGTAGGTGTGTGTGTGTGTGTAGGTGTGTGTGTGTGTGTAGGTGTGTGTGTGTGTGTAGGTGTGTGTGTGTGTGTGTAGGTGTGTGTGTGTGTGTGTAGGTGTGTGTGTGTGTGTAGGTGTGTGTGTGTGTAGGTATGTGTGTGTGTGTGTGTGTGTGTGTGTGTGTGTGTGTGTGTGTGTGTGTGTGTGTGTGTGTGTGTGTGTGTGTGTGTGTGTGTGTGTGTGTGTGTGATATATAAATACTAACCTCAGGAACGAGTGTTTCTGGATCAGAGCAGCCCTTGGACTTCAAGATCTGAAGAAAAATATAAAAATTACATTTAACATCATATTTAGCCTCAAAATACAAAGATAGGGAGGTTCCTTTCATTTCATGCTACATCTGTCTTAACCCAATGTTGTTACATGCAGATACCTCCACATGTGCTCAGCCGGCAATGAGTCTATCAGTAGCCCTAGTGACCGGTCCTGATTTCCCCATTCCTTGAATTGGCGGGAAAATGTACCTTTCTTACTAATGCAGCTGATATCGATACTGTTATTATTGTTATTGATGTTATGATTATTTAAAAAATGGGAAAATGCTGTGCTTTTAGTGAAATGTTTCTACACACAGATGGCTCTGCCTTACCTGATTTCATCTTTCCTTTAATTGGCAGGAAAATATATTTTTCTACTAGTGTTATGAATATCGATGGTGTTATTTTTAATATAAACATTATAATTACTATAATGTTTTTGAAAATTAAAGAAAAGGGTGAACGGGCAAGATAGGCAGTACTCGTAATTGGCTCATTGGTGACTTTTAGCCATCTATGGGTAAAAACAATCAAATAAGTAAACTCATAGTGGGCATGGCCTGGCATGCCCGTCGGCAATGGGTTAAGTACACATGCCATGTGTTATCGGACAGGGAACGAGGGAAGCCCACAGTTCACTGAGTGAGGCCATGGCTATGGACCTGTGACTCAACCTGGGAAACTATACTGAAATGGGTCATGCTGCTTCACCTCACCTTTACATTAGCCAAAACTCAAGTGGGTAATTTTCTTGAAAAGCATCGCATAACCAATCACGACGAATTTGGTATCAATGGATTCCTCTCACTCTCAACTATTCACATATATCAAAAATATGCTGTGGAGGAAAAACAAAGAATCCTCCATGGGTCATTCCATACCAAATCATCACCATTTAACCCCACCCCTCAGAATAGCCTCAAATTTAGTTTACTGATAAAGATCTATGAGCTAGAGAAGAATGTCGAAAAATTTTGAGAAATTCCATCTAGTTTGGGTTTTATGGACCATTTAATTTTTTGAAAATACCCCCCAAAAAGCTTAGGGTTAGCGATGACATCTTTGATGCACAAGTTAAAGTTATTTTAAACCTCACTGGAAAGAGATACATGGAGGAAAACAAGCACTAAAGTATTTTCAGGCATGTAGAATTCAAAAATAACACTTAGAAAGTCATATCTAGCACCAGGACAATGCCACCTTACAATAAACTGATGTAGGTTTCTGGCAAAATATTTTGGTGGTGGTCAAAAATTGATTTTTTCCCCAAGAGGCATACCTTTTACAAACTTTTTTATTATGTTTCCAAAATCTACATAGAACAATCATGTAGTAGACCAAAAGGTAGCTTGGGGTCTTAACTCCTTCCTACTCAAATTGGGTTGGAAAATCTGACCATTTTTCATATCAAATGCCTGCATGCACGCAACATTTTCCCAAAATTATATTTTCAATTCACATGTGCAATGTTATAATTGTCTGTTTTAATGTGCTTTTAAAGATGACAGTGCAGAGTACAGCTGGTGATGTCATGTAAAGGACAAATTATGATCTATCTTGGTGCTGGCATGGAAAATGTTTCAAAACATAAACTGAAAATTTAATTCTGAAAAGTAGTAAAAAGTTTAGCTATGTTTGAAACATCTTTCTTTTCTAAATTGTACTGTCTTCCATTCACTGTTGTTGGAACACCAATCTTGCAGAGAACATGTACCATTGGAATCCAGGTACAATCTTCAACATTGGGCCAATTGAAGGACCTTGCTGGCCCACTTGGGTGCATAAATTTAACATAAATGTCATTTAGTTCTTGGTTTACTTCCATTACAATTCCAACATACCATTTCCCTTTATACATACATGCAACATATTGAAATATTTCAAAGTCAAGCATTGCGATATTTGTTTGACCCAAAACATCATGTTGTAGAACGTAGGTCTGGTCTTCACTGCATCTCTTTACGGCTAATTTTGTGCCACCAATATGGTCAAATTGGTGGAAGCTTCTTGTTCCCGGAACAGGGACAGTTCCTTCCAATCTTTTATTAAGGGCATTTCTTGTCACACTTATTTGCTCTTTTGTTATAAAGAAAAAATTAATTTCCTTTATGTTCTCCTTGCAATAGAACATTGCTGATGTAGAGAGAATTTGCTTGTCAAAAACTCTCTTTAAACTTTCCCTAGAAACAAGCCCCTTTACCGTCCCTCCAATGCCATCACATGGCTGCTTCCCATGACTGGTGGCAAAGAAGGTCCATGATGCTTTCAAAGAGTGATCTTGCTCATGGTAGGAAAGATTCAGAAAGTTTTTTCTGTTTTTGTATTGCCCACTGCACCCGTCTGAGAAATATTTGACACTGGTTAGGTGAACAATTTTCCTTTTTATAAAATTCAGAACTGCCCTTTGGACTTCATAGACAGTTGGAACATCATGGCTCAAGTCATCTGTGATGATACAAAAGGACATATGCTGTAATTCAGAGCCTTCCTTGTAGTATACCACAACAGGATGAAGAGTGCATGAACAGTTATTCCAGTGAAAGCCCTGAACTTCATCTTGCACCATAAACTTATAATTTTCGGCAAAATCACCTAGTATTAATGCAGTGGAAGAATCCATATCAGCTTTTCTGGACTTCAGATATCTGCTCTGAGCCTTGGCGATAAATGAATGAGAAGTGAGCTTCTGAAGTTGGGTCTCAACAATGTCCACATAATTGTATACATACTCTGTTTGTCTTACCATTGTTGCACGGTCAGTATTTGTCCACTGCTGAAATTCAATGGTGTCATCCTCAGCATATCCCTCATTTTCTAAAATTTTGTACAACTTGTGCTGGAAAATTTCTGTTGACTTTGGACAATTTGGACAACGTTGTACCATGCACTCTTCGTTATCAATGTCACAAACCAAAAACTTTGTTAATTCTTTGTAATTAGCCCCAGTAGGAGAAAGAAGTAGCTTGGCATTTTGATGTATGATACAAACACATACTGAATGTGTTCCAGCAGCACCTGGCAAAATGCACCACTTGGGTCTCAGAGAACAAAATTTCGAAAACCCTATCTTTACTTCTGGGAACTTTTCCCTGAAAGAGCTAAATAGTTCCTTTAAGTTACAAAGAATAAGTCGCTTTTGTTTATGTATATTGCGACCAATGCTTACAAAATCTTTTTGACCTGGCATTTCCCTGGTGTGCTCTTCGTCATGGTAAAATTGGAGTACCAAATCTCTAGTAACTTGGGAGAGCCCTCTACCCATTTTGGGGTCTGGAAGTGACAGAATGCCTTTTTCATTTGCAAGTTTTCGAGCAGTACGTACAAGATACTCTGAAACTTTAAAATATTCAGCACACTGTTTGACTGTCCAGTTTGATGGACACAAGGTCAAGATTTGAAGTTTTGCCCTCGATGATGTCAAGGAAAAGATCTTTTCACGAAGACGACTCATCATTTCATCAAAACATCTTGCTTTTTCTAAAAGAGCTTTGTCGCTTTTTGCATCCGGGGAGGATTTAAGTTGTTCAACGGGAACATTGATCGAACTCGCAACCTTCTTTGTAATGGTTTCTACAACACTACCGATCTTCCTTTTGTTGCTGCTAATTCTGGCTGTTTCCGGCTTCCCATGTACCTTTATTGGGGACACTCCAATGGAGGAAAACAAATCCTGCAACTGATCCCTATCTTCATCACGCGAAACAGCATTTCGTCACTGGAGTCTTCCTCTGTGCTATCATTCCGACTTGCCTCAATGGCTGATAGTTTTTTGCGGCATGTGGGACATAACTTTTTTCCAGGAATTAAATGCAATTGGAGTCGCTGTGCTGACTTCACAAGTTCCATCTTTATTAATCGTAAAGAACCTGAAAATAAATTAAGAAATTCTTGATTTTCTAGTTATCAGTCAACTAAGCAAAATTTGTCAATATTTGCTATATTTACCAGTGCATATTCCCTTTAAGTTTGCTTACCTTATTGTTGATGTCTTCTAGAAGTTTTGTGATAACTTCAGGTCCTACAGACAACTGATTTTCATTTGATTGCTAGTATGTACCAAAGCATCCTTTGCACCACTTGTGGGAATAATCTACTGGAGCATGCTCAGTGACGTTTTTACCAAACATAATTTTTCAAACAATTAATAAAACTTTGAAGAAATTTGCTATATAATATGATAAAAGCCAATATTTGTGATTTCAAGCTAAATTCTAATGATACATGTACTCTGCAAGGATGGGTAGTGTTATAGAAACCATTACACAGAAGGTTGCGAATTCGAAAAATGGTCAGATTTTCCAACCCAATTTGAGTAGGAAGGAGTTAAGACCCCAAGCTACCTTTTGGTCTACTACATGATTGTTTTATGTAGATTTTGGAAACATAATAAAAAAGTTTGTAAAAGGTATGCCTCTTGGGGAAAAAAATCAATTTTTGACCACCACCAAAATATTTTGCCAGAAACCTACATCAGTTTATTGTAAGGTGGCATTGTCCTGGTGCTAGATATGACTTTCTAAGTGTTATTTTTGAATTCTACATGCCTGAAAATACTTTAGTGCTTGTTTTCCTCCATGTATCTCTTTCCAGTGAGGTTTAAAATAACTTTAACTTGTGGATCAAAGATGTCATCGCTAACCCTAAGCTTTTTGGGGGGTATTTTCAAAAAATTAAATGGTCCATAAAACCCAAACTAGATGGAATTTCTCAAAAATTTTTGACATTCTTCTCTAACTCATAGATCTTTATCAGTAAACCAAATTTGAGGCTATTCTGAGGGGTAGGGTTAAAATTTTCTAAAATTTCTGATGATTTGGTATGGAATGACCCCCATGTATTCAGAGCGGGAGAGAGCCTTGGGCGCTCCCACATGTCGGTCATGAACGCTCTCCTGCCATGACTGCGTGGAAGGTTCTTTGTTTTCCTGGATGGGGGTTGTGGGATGGTAGACACTTAGGATGGGGGTCCCTGGAGGCACAGCCTGTGTATAACATTCTTATTTTACCCGCAATTTCAACAGTACCTTACATGCTCTCTCCTGCTATTAGGGCCAAGAATGTAGGGGTTTGGGGGGTTCCACTGCTTAATTCCTACATATCTGTGTACTAGAGGATGAGAGGAATCCACCAATACCAAAATTGTTGTGATCAGTTATGCAATGACATTCCAGAAAATTACCCTCAAATGTATAATACAATTTCTCCCCTATCCTCCACCCAAAACCCCAAAATTCCTGAAAGGGGAGAGGGTGATATTTACAACTTTGCACCCAAATTAACACTTCATCATTGGTTAATATTCTCATCATGTGAAATTATGCATCTTATCACTGAGCGTCATGTAGTCATACACGAAAAAATTTCTATCCTCTTCCCTGGTTGTCTAAGTACAAATCTGAAACACAAACATTCTGTTACAATTCCCTGTTTGTATGATATCAAACAAATTACCTTCGAGAAATCTTCGAGAAATTGCGCCTTATTAAGGAAAGTTACATGTATCTCATACTTCCTAATGAAAAAATTCTTCGTGAAAAAACATTTGCATAACCCATATTTCACAGTCATTGTGACAGATGAATAGAAGGCGTGTCTTCTTTCTTTTATAGGGTTTTAGACTCTTATATAGTTTATATCTCCTTGATCTATACTCTTTCTGAACAGGAGTGGCGGCGAGGCCAGATTCCGTTGTTTACATTGGCGAGCGTTCGCCTATCCGTTCGCAGGCAGAATCCGCACGCGCATTAATCCCCCCCCCCTCTCTCTATTTATATTAATCTCTCTCTCTCTCTCTCTCCCCCCCTCTCTCTCTCTCTCTCTCTCTCTCTCTCTCTCTCTCTCTCTCTCTCTCTCTCTCTCTCTCTCTCTCTCTCTCTCTCTCCCTCCCTCCCTCCCTCCCTCCCCCCCCCCCCCTCTCTCTCTCTCCCTCTCCCCCCCCCTCTCTCTCTCCCTCCCCCTCTCTCTCTCTCTCTCCCTCTCCCCCCCCCCTCTCTCTCTCTCTCTCTCTCCCCCCCCCCTCTCTCTTTCTCCCCCCCCCTCTCTCTCTCTCTCTCCCCCTCCCTCATCCTCTCCTTCTCTGTTTCTTTATCTATACACTTCTTTACTGTATTTGTATTAACTCTTCTTCTAAACTACTGTGCATGTTATGGTCCTGGATAAATTTATTAACATCTAACTTTTTTATATGAATCATCCAATTATATTGTATTACTTTATTTACTTTCTGAGATCATCAACCTACTGGTCACCAGCTC